AATCTCTGTTTTTCTTGATCACGATGAAGTAGAGCTTGTGCTCCTGGGTCCTGGCATTGTTGGAGGTGACAGGGAGGCTTGGGTATCGTGAGGAACCAGCGCCCAGTCACCCCACCATACCCCAGGCTCTCACCTGCTAGGTCACCTGCCAGGTCACTGACAGGGTGCTCACACCAGCCTCATACCTGTAAGAACTTACCTGGTTGATACCTGGTTGATGGGGTTCTGGGAGTTCTACTCCCCAAGCCCGGCCCGAGGCCAGGCTCGACTTGTGAGAGTTTGGTCCACCAGGCTGTTGCTTGGAGCGGCCCGCAGGCCCACATACCCACCACAGCCCGGTTGGGTCATCTAACAGGCTACTGGAGGAGGAACAACATTGTGAAGCAACATGCGCGCCCGTGTTGCTCAAGGGTAAATGCTCATACCTGAGCGTCGAGGGCATTCATCCCAACACTTCCCTCACTCACAAATGACCAGCTCTAAAATGGTTTTGTTAAGTCCACTACGGGCTCACTATACCTGGAGCATACCTGGAGAGGGTTCTGGGAGTTCTTCTACTCCCTGAGACCAGCCTCAGGCCAGGCTTGACTTTTGATAACTTGGTCCAACAGGCTGTTGCTTGCCCAGCCACACACCCTGGCCATCGCACCTGCACGCACGCCACCACACCTCTACCACACAACATGTCCACTATCTCCCACCTTTTGGCATCTATCGTGTCTCCAAGACTGGCACGGCACTGGTCTTGGTTGCACGTGTCTACTACACTCACGACACTGATAATGAAAGATGAAATTCAATACTGCACACGTGGGAGAGCAGGACAGGGAGAGGCTCTCCGACACGACTCGGGCTCGGACCAGAGGTCAGCCCACTCCCCCCCTGCGGTCAGCACCAGGGTGTGCTGACCTGCGTCGGGGGGGGGGGTGGAGGGGCAGGGAAGAGGGAGGGAGGGAAGGAGAGGGAGAGATCCCTCACCCTTCCCTCCCTATCATATCTACACTTGAAACTGTGTATGGAGTCAGCCTCCACCACATCACTGCCTAATGCATTCCACTTGTTAACTACTCTGACATTGAAAAAGTTCTTTCTAGCATCCCTGTGGCTCATTTGGGAACTCAGTCTCCACCTGTGTTCCTTTGTTCAAGTACCACCCGTGTTAAACAGTTTATCCTTATCTACCCTGTCAATTACTCTGAGAATTTTGTAGGTAGTGATCAGGTCTCCTCTTACTCTTCTGACTTCCAGTGTCGTGAGGTGCATTTCACGCAGCCTTTCCCTCGTTACTCAGGCCCGCTTAGTTCTAGGACTACCCTAGTGGCATACCTGTGAACTTTTTCCAGCTTCGTCTTGTGCTTGACAAGGTACGGGCTCCTTGCTGGGGCCGCATACTCCAGGATTGGTCTTACATATGCTGTGTACAAGGTTCTGAATGATTCCTTACACACGTTCGTGAAGGCTGTTCTGTTGTTAGCCAGCCTCGCATATGCCGCAGATGTAATTATTTTCATGTGGGCTTCAGGAGACAGGTTTGGTGTGATATCAACTCCCAGATCTTTCTCTCTGTCCATTTCATGAAGAACTTCATTTCCCATTCGGTATCCTGTGTCTGGCCTCCTGTTTCCACCGCCTAGTTTCATGACCTTTCATTTACTCGGGTTGAACTTTAGTAGCCATTTGTTGGACCATTCAGTCTGTCTAGGTCATCTTGTAGCCTCCTACTATCATCCTCTGTTTTAATTCTCCTCATAACTTTTGCATCATCAGCAAACAATGAGAGGAACTATTCTATACCCTCTGGGAGATCATTTACATATATCAAAAACAGAATAGGTCCAAGGACTGAACCCAGCGGGACTCCACTGGTGACGTCTCGCCAATCTGAGGCCTCACCCCTCACAGTGACTTGTTGTCTTCTGTTGCTTAAGTACTCCCTTATCCAATGGAGTACCTTCCCTTTTACTCCTGCCTGCATCTCTAGCTTTTTCACTAGCCTCTTATGTGGTACTGTGTCAAAGGCTTTCTGGCAATCCAAAAATATGCAGTCTGCCCACCCCTCTCTTTCTTGCCTGATTTTTGTTGCCTGGTCATAGAATTCAATTAATCCTGTGAGGCAGGACCTGCCATCCCTGAACACATGTTGATGCTGTGGTATAAAGTTCTTTCACTCCAGGTGCTCCACTAGCTTTTTTCGCACAATCTTCTCCGTCAGCTTGCATGGTATGCAGGTTAGGGACACTGGCCTGTAGTTCAGTGCCTCCTGTCTATCCCCCTTCTTGTATATCGGGACTACATTAGCGGACTTCCAAATTTTTGGCAGTTCCCCTGTTACCAGTGATTTGTTATACACTATGGAAAGTGGCAGGCACAGTGCTTCTGCTCCTTCCTTTAGTACCCATGGGGAGATTCCATCCGGGTTTATAGCCTTTGTCACATCCAACTCTAGCAAGAGCTTCCTTACATCTCCACTGGTAATCTCAAACTCTTCTAGTGGATCCTGGTTAACTATTCCCTCTCTTATTTCTTGAACTTCCCCTTGCTCTAATGTGAAGACCTCCTGGAATTTCTTATTCAGTTCCTCGCACACTTCCTTGTCGTTTGTAGTGAGTCTGTCTGCCCCTATCCTCAATTTCATTACTTGTTCCTTTACTGACATATTCCTTCCTGGCACTCTGGTATCTCTCTCTGCTCTCGAGTGTCCTGTTATTTCTATAGTTTCACCACGCCCTTTTACTTTGCTGCTTAGCTAGCCTACATCTCTGGTTAAACCATGGGTTTCTCATCTGCATTTCGTTGTTTTCCTTTTGGACTGGGACAAATTTGTCTGCTGCGTCCTTGCACTTCTGTGTGATGTAGTCCATCATGTCTTGGGCCGTCTTTCCTCTCAGCTTTATCTGTGTGTGCTCACCTAATTGTGCTTGCGGGGGTTGAGCTCTGGCTCTTTGGTCCCGCCTCTCAACCGTCAATCAACAGGTGTACAGATTCCTGAGCCTATTGGGCTCTATCATATCTACACCTGAAACTGTTTATGGAGTCAGCCTCCACCACATCACTTCCTAATGCATTCCATTTGTCAACCACTCTGACACTAAAAAAGTTCTTTCTAATATCTGTGTGGCTCATTTGGGCACTCAGTTTCCACCTGTGTCCCCTAGTGCGTGTGCCCCTTGTGTTAAATAACCTGTCTTTATCTACCCTATCAATTCCCTTGAGAATCTTGAATGTGGTGATCATGTTCCCCTCTAACTCTTCTGTCTTCCAGCCAAGTGAGGTTTAATTCCCGTAGTCTCTCCTCGTAGCTCATACCTCTCAGCTCGGGTACTAGTCTGGTGGCAAACCTTTAAACCTTTTCCACTTTAGTCTTGTCCTTGACTAGATATGGACTCCATGCTGGGGCTGCATACTCCAGGATTGGCCTGACATATGTGGTATACAAAGCTCTGAATGATTTTTTAGACAAGTTTCTGAATGCCGTTCGTATGTTGGCCAGCCTGGCATATGCCGCTGATGTGACCAGACCACATATTAGAAGGTGAAGGGACGACGACGTTTCGATCCGTCCTGGACCATTCTCAAGTCGATTGACACCCAGTCGAAAGTCTTGAGTCGAAAGACCCAAGTCTTTATCTCTCTCTCTGACTCTTGAAGAATTTCGTCTCTCAATGATACTTGTAACTGGCATCCTGCTCCCTACACCCCTCTTCATTACATTACTTTGCTTGGGTTAAACTCTAACAACCGTTTGTTCGACCATTCCTTCAGTTTGTCTAGGTTTTCTTGAAGCCTCAAGCAGTCTTCCGCTGTCTTAATCCTCATTATTTTAGTATCGTCAGCAAACATTGAGAGGAATGAGTCTACACCCTACGGGAGATCATTTACGTATATCAGAAACGGATAGGTCCGAGTATAGAGCCCTGTGTGGACCTCCACTGGTGACTTCACGCCAGTCTGAGACCTCACCCCCCTCACTGTAACTCTCTGCTTCCTATGCTTAG